GTCTACAGAAATGTCAAGTCATTGGGGATTGAAAAAAAAAAAAATAGACATTAGATAAGAATAAAAAATAAGTTTCATATATACCATGTACTTTCTGTGCTAATTATTCCTCCTAAAAAATTAGAAGTACTTTAATCTATTGAAATTTTAACTCTATAATAAGATGATACATTGAATCCTGAAATGTAAATCTTTTAAAGCTTATTTAAAATAAAAAGAAATAAATAAAACTATTTATAAAATCTGTTTCTGGATTTTTTTTTATAATTAAATTAGGTCTCTAACGCTTGACAAAGTTGTTTCAAACTTTCAATAGTTATCCAAATTGTAGGAGTGGAGACAAGCCAGACTCTTGTGGCCCTACATAAGTTTTCTTTTATTTAAGTGGTTTCAATTGAGAATTGGGATGTACCACATTTAGTTAATATTTCTAATTTCTAATTAAAAACTTGTTATAGAAAAACGAAGTGCGAAAATAAAAATTCAATTGAGTGCCACTCTTACCATTTATCATATCATGGAATCTTCTGTTTTAAGAGTCAATTTTGCTGCAATCCAAAGAGCTACTTGCCTATTCATGTTTTTAAACAAAATAAAGTCAATAATTTTTTTTGAAAAAATTTTGATACATGTATAATTGAACGGCACGTTTCTTTGAAAGAGACATTATAATGAGAAAATATAGTGAATGAGGGTACGTTTATAAGTGAATAAAACCAATTCTTCCTAATACACACAAAAATAACTGTAAATTAGTGATGACAACCAAATCCACAAGCAAAGAATTTGCAACGCAGACACATCATTTATCTTCAATTCTTGTCTTTTTCACCCTTCTTCCTTAATTAATTACTTCTATATTTGTGTCTTCTTGACATTATGTTTGGTATCCATGAAAGAAGCTTCCTTTTCAAGCATTACAAGAGGTAGCATGTCTAATCGAAAGCAAGCAAAATCCTACCCCTCTAGAATATAACATTAGGCATGGGTAATCAATTCACAATTTTCAAAAAATTAGTTGAAATTTTAATTTCTTAAAAATTTACATTTTTTTAATAGCACACTTATTAAATACTCTATATAAATATTTTGATAATGAATTATTTTTTTAAATAGTAATAAATGAAATAGAGATATAGTTAAAAAATAATTATAAAATTTAATTAAACAAAACTTTTAAAAATTATCATATATTATGATTTGAAGAAAACAAAGTCACTAGGATGTTGGCATGAAAAAAACTTGTTAAGAAGAGAAATTAATAAATATGGTCTACTAGTCCGAATCCTATCATTGCTGCGTTTCTCAATGGCACTTAGAATCTTCAAATCCAGTGTACTCAAACAATCAATTGGTACATAACGTGGCATAAGAATTTTTAAAAAAGAGAAAATGACAGTATGGTTCAAAAAAATTAATGATATATAATTATATCCTGATAAAATTTTCTTAAAAAAATATTGAGGGATGCTTGGTTCAACTAGTTAAGGGAGTTAAATTAATGTATCTCAAAATCTTGAATTCAAATTGTAAAATATACAATCACATTAAATAGGCAGTTATTAATAATAACAATTCTGCACAACTTTGATTCATATTAGTCCATGCAAGAGGTGGTAATATATTTAGGCATCTCATGATACCGAATGACAGAATAAAAAAAAAATCCAAAAATAGGTTGTAAAAATTGATTCAAATAGTTGCAATCTTAAAAGATGAAATTAATAACAATTAAATTCTCAATAAATTTTAAAAGAAATAAGCTGAAAATATTTCTTTAAATAATTACATACTCATATGTTCTAATTAAGAATATTATAATTTAATTCAAAATATAACTCTCAATGTATAATTAAGATTTTTATTTGCAACTAAATCAATGTTCACAGCTCATTTTGTTGAAAATTTTTCAGGAATACAATTATCATTAGTTTTTTTGGGGGCTTTTACTATCATTTTTTTTAAATCCTTATAATCTGGCAAATTATGGACCAATGGATTATTTCACTGCACAGGATTTGAAGATTATGAGATACGCTGAGAAAATGGACAATGAGAGGATCTCATTTCATGGACAACCTCATGTTCTCTTTGCACAGTAGCTAGTTGAACCCAGGAAAATCTGCTTGCTAGTGACGAGGAGGATGAGGACCCTTGCAATGATTGTTGCCGGCAAACCCCTACAACATTGTTGTCGATGACCACAAGGAACACAAGGAGGCCTATAATGGAGTTGTTGTTACTTCTTACCGACACAATAAATTTATTTTTTTCCCCGATTTTATATCTGTAAGTCACTGTTTAAAGAAATTAATGATTTCTTTATAAGTTACTTTTACGTAAAAAGTGGGCCATTAATTTTTTTTTAAATTTTATTCTTTCACTTTTTGTTTGAGGAAGTTAAGACGTTGTATTTAACAAAGAAAGTGTTTCTACAATGACACATTTAATAAAAGTAAATTGAGAAATTTTTTTCTTTCTTAAACAGTATATATCAATAAGTTAACTACTTTTTTTATATCGATGTGGTAATTAAAAATGTTTTATATAAGACTAAAATGAGTAATTAATTATTTTCTTAACGTATCTGGTTTTACATTTTAAACCGCTAAAACTATAATTTTAGTTGTTTATAACATGAAACCAAACTTGCACAAGATAATGAAGAATGAATGTGTATTGTGCGTGTGCGTGTGTTTTTTTTTTTTTTTTTTTTTACACTCCTAATTCGATAAAGAATAAAAGGATCCTTTCTCTTTTTCATAATCATCAAACTTATTTTAAACCAATTGAAAAAGACTTCCATAGAAGTATATTTTTTTCTTTTCTTTTCCCTTCCATTTCCTTTTCAAGTGACTTATTCATATCAAACATTTAAAGAATGTTTTGTACATAAAAAAAATGAGAAAATTAGTTCAATGGCTTCAAAAAATACAACTCCCATAAATTATGAATGAAGTTTTTAAACATTTTGAAATATGGCCTATTCATAAAATCAATTAAATGTGTTTTTCTTTTTTATCCTCAAAATATATTTATTATTAAAACAAAAAATATTTGATTTAACTAATCTTTAGCTAATTGGATCTTTTATTTTTATTATTAAAAATCATATTGTGCGTACTCCCTTTTTGATTTATCATCTCTGAAAATTTTTTTCATTAGATTTTCTTGGATCATCATGTTTATCTCTCGTATAGTGCTCTTCTTCATCAGAATTTTTGATCTAATTTGCTTGGATCACCATTTTCATCACAAAACTTTTCCTCTCCCTCCCTCCCTATTTTTCTTAGATATTACGAAGAGAACATTAAATATTAAAAAAAACTCCATTACTGATATGCAATACTATATCATTGATATACGACAATATATTAATGATAAACAAAGTGATAAATTTTTGCTGATATGGCTTAATATCACTAATATACTATTGTAGATTAACATAACTACACAATTAGACATAAACTTATTTAGAATTGGTATATAGTCGTATATCAATGATGTAGTATCACAAATTAGTAATACGAAAAACACATAATCATTTTTCTAAAACATATCAAACAAAATCTTAGGAAACCCTTGCTTGAACTCTGGCTCTTGTAATAGTGTAGTGTAGTGTAGTGTCATCTCCATGTCTTCATGTCAGTGAAAGCGAAACCAGTGTGAAAAATGAGAAATAGGGTATTATGATGTTTAAGGACAGTTTGGCCTTTTGTATCAAAGATAAGTTAAAAAACAGCTATTATCTTAATTCAGGAAAAGATGGGTTATTAGTTTTATTTAGCCATATAATGTTGGTTAAATTTGCTAAAGCCCCTAGAAAAATATATTTGAAAAAAGAAATACACTTATCTCAAGTTTTTTAAAAATATACATTTTGTTGTACTAAACGTGCAGTTAGTCATATTATAATTAAAATAATCTTTACGTTAAGTTCATTAACAAATAGCCTCATGTCTTGATAGATGAGTGATATGATGATTAATTAAATGTTCACATGGCAATCAAAAGTTACACAAGCAGATAAAAACTAAATCCTTATCACCAAGTTGAAATTTTTTAGTCCAGATGCATTTTTTTCATTCAATATTTATATTTAAACCAAATATCAGTTTCAACTATGATTGGATTCATCTCTTATATGAATTGATTCCGACGTAATGCCATGTGTTTGGTTTTCAATGAAACAATTGTTGAGAGTGGGATTGTTTGGCCAACAACAATTATAAACTTTGACTAAGTATAACTAAAGATAAAAAATAAACATATATTTAAGAAAAATATGAAGAATGTTGATCTGTTGGATTTAACCAAAATTAAGTGTCAATCCAAATGTCTTTAACAAAGCACATGTTTTGGTGAACACGTAAGCATTTACTAACTACACATATTGGCAAGTCACTTGTTCTCTTAATTATATTAATAATGAAATGATATTGGTATTAGCATTAATTAATTTGGGAGACAAACGAAAGATAAGGCAAGGTATATAACAGTTTGAAAGAAAAAACAAAACTCAAATCCCACATAAAAAAGTTAATATTATTTCATCAAGCAAAGGACTGCATAACCACCACGGCTTTTAGATTAACAATTGTATATTAGAGACATAATTAGATAGACTAGATCTACTATGTCATTTGCATTCTGCCCGATCAAAGCATGACATGTAGGTAGTATTAAATATAAGTTGGTTATAATATTATGGATAGTAAAGAGAGAAAAGACAACAAACTAAACATGCATTATGTTATAAAAATAAAATTAATTAAAAAAAATCACACAAGATTTTATTTAGATTATTTGAAATTTTTTAATTGAACAGACGTATCACACCCAATATATCTAAGTATTTTTCCTGAATATTATTAATATATATAATATAATGAACAATAAAAACTATTAATAATAATAAAAATATTATTAATTTCTACAATTCCATCATGGAACGCATGGCCAGGATTTGCTTTCAAGTCTACCTACGATATATTCTTCATCATCTTCTTCTTAAAAACCTCCTTCCAACCTCACCAACAATGGCTGACGTCCAAAGCCCCTTCACACTACTCTCGCCTCCTCCTCCTCCGTCTTCTTCTTCTTCTTCTACCCCGAACGCCGGCATGACCATGCTGTACTACGGCCTTGCGGTGGTCGTAACCGCCGCCATAGTGCTAGCCATGTACAACCTCATCATCATCAGACGATGCCGCCGGCGCCGGCACGCGCCGCAACGGACGACAGGGAACGACCGGGTGGTGGAGGTGGTGATCGCGGCGGCAGGGAGTAGTAGTCGGAGCTTGGAATGCTCGAACAGGAACCTGCTTTCAAGCTTCAAGTATAAGAAAGAAGAAGCAGAGGAGAAGGAAGAAAACGACGGAGGAGGAGGAGGAGGAGGGAAAGGTGAGGAATATGAATGCCCAGTTTGCTTATCGGAGTTTGAAGAAGGCGAAGAAGTGAGGAAGCTACCTCGGTGTAAGCATTCGTTTCATGCGGTTTGTATAGACATGTGGCTTTACTCTCACTTGGATTGCCCAATTTGTCGAACACCTGTTGAGGAAACGGAGTGAGATTGATTGAATCATTTCAGGTACTATGTCAGTTTGGGGATTAAGACGATGAAGAACAGTGGTTATGAAATTCACTTATGTGATTTTGTGAAAGAAGGTGAGAGAATCAAGAGGATGATGATAAGAAGGAGACGGGAGAGAGAGAAGAAAAGTTTGTTGGGGGAGATTGATTGGGAGCTGGCTTAAGTTTAACATTTAGATTTTTTTTTAGGGAGACACAATTATTTGGTTGAAATTTGAACATAGGCCGTTCGCTTTTGGTTTATTCTGTGTGTTTATGTCTGCAATATCCTTTCACCTTTTTTTTTTTTGCTTTTTTTTTTTCGTACTTTTCCCAGCAAAGTAAGCAGAAGAGTCAATAGTGGAAACTTCAATCATTGTGACGGTCTAGCTGGAAGAGATGAGAGGGAAATGAATAGCATGCTTCTGGAGTACTCAGTGTGAGGCTTAATTGAATGAAAGAAAATATCACTTAAAAAAGAAAGAAAGTACGCATTTGTTTGGTTCTTTGCAAACAGCAGAACAGACATGCCGTGCCAAATTTAGCTCAAATTCTTTGTTTGGTATAAATAATATATACTATAGTTCATGTCGTTCGCTTAAGTTCATGTTCAGAGCGTAACAAATTGGCAAAAAAAAAAAAGGGCCGTTATTGGACGGTTTAGGGTTTATTTGGAAATTTTGAAAAAAAAAGAATATAAGATGAAAAAGGAACAAGAAAAAGAATTATCTGATGCGAGAGTCCAATCTATGGAATAACTTTTTTTTTTTGGGATAAAATAATCTATGGAATAACTGAAAAGGCAAAATTTGGACAAAATTTTAATATAACCCATGGGACCAATTTACGTTAATTCATTTTCGATGTCAAATTATTACAATCTTTTAAAATTAATACAGAGACAACCTCCTTTACTTATGATCTGAAGGATATGAACAGATGAAATTTTGTAAAGAAACACTAGGTTGAACACAACGTCCAATCGGTTATTGGAAATAAAGAGAATGGAATGGATTAAAAAAATAAAAATAAAATGATTAAAATGTGGAGGAAAGATTATTCAACTATATTCATGAGGGAAGAAGGATAATTTAATTTATAAAATTAAAAATCACGATTCATAAAATTTGTAAAGAATGTGATAATTTTCCTATCTATAATCTGTGATATAATGTTTTATCATACTTACTATAAGAGAAAGTAATTTAATTTATTTTTATTTTTATTTTTATTTTTATTTCTTTAATCCATTCCAATAATATCATTCATGCACTTCAAAGCCATTTAACAGCTTGGAAGGGCACACAAAATCAAGGCACAAGAAACCGATATCAAATATAAATTTGCTAAATACAAAATCTATATCTCAATTGTTCAAACAATGCACCACGTGGCTAGTAAAAACTGACGAGGAAATTTTATTTAGAAAAATATCCATTTTGTCCTATAATCCTGAGTTCATGAAAGCCTGGCAGAAGTTACCAATTATGCATAACATGGACATGGTATACAAATATACTCCACTTCTCCAAGTAAAGTTGGAGTGTACATAATACAGGATGAAGACTACATTCTTCTTAAATTGTCTAACCTTGCCTGCAAATCACTATCTATCCCGCCGTCGTCATTTCCAGTAGTTTCGACTTGAGGCACCTTTGCCTTTGCCGCTGGGGCAGCAACAGCTGCTGATGGTGCATTCACAAGCTGTGCATGACATTCAAAGTTGTCAGGCATTGTTAGAAGATTAAATAGTCCACTTTTAAGGAAAAGAAAGAAGTTGAATAATCAGGAAGTGTTTGATATACCTCCTGGTTTACATTGATTCCGATCTCATCTAGAACCTGGTTCACTAGTTCCTCTGTTTCTTCCTCCTCCTCATCTCCTTCCAAAGCATCATCTATTGCATCTCCCATCACCTCAGTCGTCAGTTCCATCCTCTCATTCTGTCTCTCAAATTCTTGCATAATTTTCTGTAGAGATGGCAAGTTCATCTGCCTATTCATCTGTCCCATTGCTTTTGTCACACCTTTCATGGCCTCCCCCATTGCTTGTGTTGATTTCAAAGTCTGGAATTTGTATTACAATATACTTCAACTTCCAGCACCCAAATACAAGCTAAAGCACATATTTTAATCACCAATGAAGGGTTTATCAATCCATATCCATGGAAGTTGCCAGTCCGCTGGGAAATCCTTTTCTAATAACAATGCCAGGAGCCTCAAAATACAAGTTCATCCTTTGCAGACTATTTTCCAGTACAAACCAAAAGTTGCAATTATATGAACTACAGCATACCTGAATTCTAAGTGATACACCCTGGAGCTGTGATTTGAGCTTATAAAACTTTTCAATCTGATGCCTTGTTCTAACAAGATCTTTTGCCATCACTCTAACAGCTCCCTGGAAAGTAAAAGGCATTTACACCAATTAAGATTGACATTGGCAAGACACATGCCACCTCCTTCAAAGACAAATCACGTGTGAACCATAATAAACTGACAGACAAAAATTCAGCATTACAGACAGTCAGATTTGGGAAGTTGATCCACATATTGAAAGTAAATCAGAATATGTAGGGCAACAGACTACCAATTCAAACAAGAAAAGAAAATACCCTTCATATGCAAGCCAGCTTGAGTCACTCCCAAGAACTAAATCTATGTAAATTTTCATGCTTTAAAATGATATCAATTTTCAAACTTTAAAAGTAGGTAGAAGTAAAGTACCAGTAAAAATGACTGCATAATTTTCTTACTTTATAGTTTGTTCCAATGACAGGAAATTTAAAAAAAAAAAAAAAACACCCATTCCAAACGGTAGTCATCAAGATGAAATCAGTAGTTCTATTTCGTCCACCAATATGTCCATGGAGATCAAGTATTTTTCTTCTCTAACTCGTAGATTTTGCAAGACACAAAGAAAATGGAGACTGTTAGATATAATAATGTAATTAAAGACAGAATACACAGCCCGAATTTAATGGCAAGTGTAAAGCACTGTAAACTTAATGACTATGAAACAATTCTTAACATATTTCAAAAAGGAAAAGAAAAAAAGAAGCCTTTCTTTCTTTTTGGTAGGATGGGATTGAGAAATCCATTAAGTCTGCGATGGCTATTTGCCTGATCATGTGGAAACATTTCAATCTGCAAAAATACTAGGAATATTTGATTTTTGTCACATGTGACTAGCAAAGTGGCAATTACAAAGCATGTGAAATTAACACAACAAAATGGTCAAAACTGATAAAGCAAAACTGCTACTCCCATTTTGCTAACTAAAAAAATGAATACCAAGATAACTAGATGTGCCACAACCAGTTCAGCATGAATATACAACATGCTACTTCAGAAAACGAAAGTAAAATAAGAAACCAAAAGTACAAAAAGAAAATGCCATACCATCTGGCCTTGTTTGGCGCTTTTCTTTATCTCTGAAATCAGTTTCTTTTCTTGTGATTGCAAGCCTTGTCTCTCCCGCTCTATTTCTCTAATTGATTTGTCCAACATTCTCTTATTTTCCCGCAGAAGTTCTGAAAATCACAAATTACATTCACGCATTATATAATAAGCATATAGGGAATTGCAAAGGGCATCAGAGAAAGGCATGTTAGAGGCCCCTAGCCCAATAAGGTATATAGGGATTCCATTTGTAAGGTAACAGAGAATACTGTTACGAGCATGTCAAACAATAAACATGCATACTTGATGATGGTATGCATGCAAGAAACTAGCAAACAATTTCACTCGGGTATCAATTTACATCCAGTGAACAAAGTTTATGTGCAAGCAATTACTCACTTAGAATTATGATTTTTATAACCATAAAAGTTATACAAGGAATTTAAAACTACAACATCATTGCACAACAGCACAGTGAGTTATAATTGAAGTTGGCAAGCAAAAAATTACAGTTATTGTAATTTTTGCTCAGAACAAACCACATGATACGCTATATTATAAGGTATCATCCAAACCACTGATCAAAAAGAAACAAGGGCGATTGCAACAAATTTCATAATTTGAATCACAAGATAAAATCAATAATCCGGATTTAGCACCCCAATTCCCAATTTAAATCCTCAATAGTACGATCGAATACAAAGCGCAGCCAATTAGATTTCCCCCACAAGATATATCAACAGAAGATACTTTAAATCCCATTCAGTACTCATTATTTGAGAAAATTAATAAATAAAATGAAAGAAAAGCACATGAACAAACCTGCGGGAGTTTTTCTCTTTCCGAAGATAAAACTCATGGTGATTGAATCAGTAACCACAACTAGAAACCGAAACCCAGAAACTCAATCAAATTTCTACAATCAGAAAACCAAAGCCAGTCAGCTGCAACCCGATCGGATGATATTGGGGATGGATTTAGAGGTCGAAGATCGTGTTGATCGATCAAGTAGGTTGCTTCCGCAGTAAGCGTTAAACGAAGGAATCATCAATGAACGAACCATCCCATCTTTTTCCCTCCGGGAGGCACCTGCTGCTCGAGGGACCCCACTTCTCATCGTTGATTCGTCGTTTTAAGTAAACGGCGACTCCTGATTGGGTCGTCGTGATTTGGATCGTTGGGTCATTGTATGTATGGGCAACTCGAATACCCACTTACGTCCATGCCGTGCCATTTCCTTTTGGTGTGGTTTTTCAAAATATGGGGCCCAAAAATTAATTATGGCCCAACAATGCAGAAAACATTTTTAAAAAAATTATCTTTAATTAAATTCAACAAAACTTGAATCTAATTCAATCAAATAGTTATCTATGTGTAATATGTTATCAGCCATCACTAAACATTTTTTTTTTTCAATATATTGTACAAAACTTGAGAAGTTAGTCACTCTACTGATTATTTCATTTGTTAAAAGTATGGCACTTTTTAATTCATCCATGTTTAAGACATCATTATACCTTTCTCTCGTATGTACTTGTTGCGGATAAGAGAAAAATGTAAATATCTTCATAAGGACTTCTAAAATTTTGAGGCCTTCCTCAGATTTGATAAGTTCTAAGAGTCCAACTTACCTAAAAATTTTGATATAAAATTTAATACTCCCTATACCTTATCATGAAAAACTTTCTTTATAGTACTTAATATAAGACTCTCTATTTAAAGTATTAATCTCGTTCCTTAAATCTTCTTTGGTTTGATATTTCTTAACTAGCTAATCTGGTAACTAACCAAATAATCTCTCTGATTTTAGAATTTTAAGATCATAAACTAATTTTAAATAAATTCATTAATGAATGTGAAGTTTATTGTAAGGATAATGGAGACGGTAATTATGTTATGTGAAAGGCATGAACCAACACCCCCTTGTTGAATAATTCGTTGCTGATACAAGGAAAGTGTGATTTGCTGAGTTACCATGAATCAACTTAGCAACGAGCAAAGCTCACATTGCAACTTTTTATTCAATAAATATATTTCTTCCATTCGTGTAATTATGTTGAATTTTTGTTATTTACATATATTTTTTTATTAGAGATAATCCTATTTAAGATATTGTTGAGTATTAAATAGTGGTATCTCTCCCAACAAAAATTAAAACTTCCTGAATTTTTGTTTGTTTACTTGTAAAAAGTTCTGGGTTTGAATTTTTTGAACCAGAAACATGTCAATGCTTGTAAAACAAGAGAGAAGTAGCCAACAAAAAAAAAAAACAGTGAATAAGATACAAACTCTTATTCCATGAATATATATTATTTGTCTCTGACATCAAGGTTACTCTCAAATTGAAAACACTGTAGAAAATTAGAATCCAATAGCCCATAAATGAACTTGGAGACGGAGTGACACATATGCCTTTGCAGCAAAATATCATGGGAAGATCATGCATGGGGATACAGCCAGCTAGGCTTATATTATTTTTTTTCGTTTGTATGCATGCATATAGCTGATAATATCTATCTATATATGTGCGTAACTCCCAAATAATTAGACATGTATATAAATAATTGGCTCCCAAAAACAATAATTTGATTGATTAATGCACAAAGGTACAGTGATTAATAATTAATGCGATATTGGTTGCACTGAACTTGGCACGTGTAGATGTAGTAAGTATCACAGTTTGTGCTTGGTTGGTAAGTAACATCCCCTATTCTTGCACACACTGGCATTCCAATTCATGTTATTGGCTTATTGCCTCGTTTCAATTCATCTTCAAAACTTGATCTTTCATTATCATCATCTCTCTTAGTGTCAATATAATTAAATCTTGTCTTCTTCTTCTCTCTCCAACCTTTTCTCTCTTTAATTTTCTGTTTAATTGTGTGTCTCTCCATTCCTTCTCACACATTTATGTTTAATTTTAACTTCTTCATTACGATGAGCTGAGAGAACTTTAGTGGAATTTGGGCTAATGCAAATCGAGTCTAAACATGACCTTTTTAAATGGAAGTTTTGTCATTAACTCTTTTGTATTCTCAGGGAGCTCGAACTCAAAACATTGATTAAAATGGTATTAATCCCTTGCCAATATTAAACCAAGTGTCTGATGATGTTGTACATTTGTTTTACAGTAAGATTCATGACAATCTTCTTGGACATTTTCACAATTTTACTATTTTCTTAGCTTTTCTCACTAATTTTGCTGGGTTAATACTTGATAATATCAAGGTTGGAACATCCTTGAAATAATTTTCTACCTGCCAGAGTTTATTATTATTGAGTGAAATTGTGAATTGTTAACCAACTTATTTTTATGTAATAATTTAACGGTCCTGACGTTGATTGGGTGACATGGAGATTTCAAATCACCTAAAAAGTAGAGCTATGTTACTGTGAGATATGATTTGAAATTCTAGCTTTTCCTCTTTTAATAAAGCAAACCTCTGCAATTAGAACATCTAATAATGCAAAAGTTAAAATTAGTGTTAAATGAAGTTATCCGTACCACTTCAACATTGATCTAATTATTTTGTAGTCATTATATCTAATATCTCATTTTGACAATTAGCCCCCTCGACCCAGAAAAATAAAAATAGCCCCCATTTTTTATATCTCAAAGATATTATTTATAATACAATTTTTAGTGCACAATTTATTTTTATCATTAAAATCTTGCGAGGGAAGTTACTGTGTATCATATAATCTCTGTGAAAAAATTGACGAGGCCCTTGCTAAGTTATTTTATGATTTAAGGGGAATACATACTTTAGTTTTTTAAAATAATTATTTCAATAATTACTTTCCTGAAAAATTACCATCGTTTGGTAAAATTATTTTTATTCTTACATATAGTAAAAATATTTTTAACATTGTTGACTACCATTCCTTTAAAAATCTTTCCTTCCAATTTTTTTTTGACAATCATTTAATATAGGATAAAGGTACAAAATTTACCACTAACTATTTTTCTAAAAATACTGAATAGCTTATACTATCAGGTGATGAGAAATAAATTCTCAAGTTTTAAAAATGAAACATCCATTAACTCACTGTTAACTTCACTCAACGAATTTTATGTGGGAGCCACACATGACATGTGGTGGTATAAATTTAGCCACAAATTATTTTTCGAGGAGCACTGGATAACATTTATTATACAAAAGGATTATCCCATCAATTTTGACTAAACATTATTTATTTTGAGACTTGTGAGACCCATAATATATCAATCTCTTCAATCTTTTTGCCTTCAATCTTAGTCTTAGCTCAAGCAAAAAAAAGTTCGAGAGTTCTTATTTGAAAATATTTATGAAGATAATACTAATGAAATAGAAGAAATAATTTGTCGCTACATTAAGCTAGAATAAAACTTCTCCCACACCTAATAAAATCAAGCTTATACTTTATTAATATTATCCTTGTGAGTGTCTTTAGATAATAACTTTTTGAACTTTTTATTCTTTAGTTGAGTTTGAGAATGAAGGCAAGACGATTAGAAAGATTAACATGTTGTAAGTTTCATAAGTCTAAAAATAAACGGTGTTTAGTTAAAATTGATGAAAAAGTATTAGATAGTCCATTTTTCATAGTGGATGCTACATAGTACTTCTTGAAAAATAATTCATGATTAAATTTGTACCTTTACACATGCTAAAGTGGTGCGCCATGTGTCATTTGCACATAACGTTCGTCAAGTGAAGTTAATAGTGGATTATTGAATGCTCTATTTTTAAAAGTTGAGGATTTATTTCACACCACCTGATAGTATAAACTACCTAGTATTTTTTAAAAAAATAGTTAGTAGCCAAATTTGTTACTTTACCGTATAATATTCAATATTTTTGGCTACATCAAATTTGAGTTTCATCAACCAACAAAGATTGGTCTAATTAGTAATAATCTAGCTTATAATCCACAAGGTCATAGGATTAAATTCTGCTATCATATAAGAACCTTATTGATGGACAATCTATAAATATTTTTATAAATGTTCTTTGAGTTTGAACACATGATTTGACCTTAGTGACAAGCAAATTTGAGTATAATTAAATCCTTGCTGATATAATTTAAAATTGTAAGGGTTAAACTAAAAATCTTAAGTAAGATTCAATTTAATATACTTGAAATTAGTTGGTGAGTGATCATGTTTTGATTCCTTGAATTTTAATCTTTGAAGTTGATCAATGTTCACGGGGAGATGGCAATTAGACGAGCCCATTCGGCCTGGTTTGTCTCATTGTCAAGTGTGGAAAATAGAGTTTGATTTTTTCTTTCTATCAAACTTAAAACAAAACAAAAAACAAAAAACAAAAAGTAGCTTTGGATTTAAGGCATTATGTCATTTTCCTTAAGTTGACCTCTTCATTGCCTTAAGAAAATGGCCCTACATTGTCTGCTATATATGCACCTATTGGTATTACTCTTTTGTATGTCAGTACATTTTATGATGTTATCTTTGAATCCTTATGAGATTTGACCATCTCTAGATAGATGTTTGTGAAGTGATGAAACCCAAATTAAAACTATATTTTCTTAAATAAATTTACAGTGAAATGATATTTTAATCATAGCCACTATTTCACAAGGACAGTTTTCACTAATCTGTTTATTTATTTATTTTAAAATGATCTTGAATAAGATAGAATCCTGTCATCAATAATGAGCATCAATTATGGCTTTAGTTACAAACAAAAACAAAGAGATCAAATTTCACAGTACTTGGGGACTTTTTAGAGGAGGCAAAAAGCAGTATGCTGTAATCATTAATTAAATCTTCAAGTTGGGAAACCTTTACTACTTTGATTTTTTAATTTTTAATTTTGGTAAAGTGGGAGACATTTTACTATCCTCCCCCTGATGCCATCCATGTGCAAAAGCTTCCTCCTTTTTCTAACTTAAAACTTTTTTTTTCTTGGTTGGGTAGAATCTCTGCTTTTTCCCTCTCTCCGTTAATCTGCTTTCACAAATTCTGCAGATTGCATGTAACCTCAGTGCCAGCTTCACTTACATAATTATTTATATCTCCCTTGATATCTCACCCGCACCCAACTATAAATTAAATCTTATTATAACATTCTTATATGGGTTTTTAGAAAATTACTCATCCAAAGGGTAAAGGGAGAATTACTATCAGATTCCAAATAAAGAAATTAATTAATTTTTAGTTCATTTGAAAGTTAAGTTTCTATATTTATATGTCAAATGTCAGTGTTTACAAATAGACAAGATTTATAGATAATTAATTTTTTTTATAGGATTTATATGTAATTCTTGCATGAGTAAGAGTATGCATTGGTCTACTTTCTATTTGGGAGAATTACATACTCTCTTTGATAAAACATATAAAATACTTTTAATTGAATCTTATTCTCTAATAAAATAATTAATTACCTCCAAACTAATATCATATTTTCATATTTACTCTTATTTAATATGATGTTTTACTTTAAAATTAATATAAAGTGATTTATTTATTATGACACTTTTAAAAAAATACATTAATTACTTTTTGAAACAATAATAATATTTTATATTTTTTAATATTTAACTTTTTAAAAAATGTTTAAATAAAGTAAAAGTTTTTAACAAAAAAATTAATTACTAAGTGGCTTCCTGAAATTGAGTTATCACTAATAGGAAGCGTTTTGCATGCTTTTTGTAATCAATTCTCTTGCTTGAGATTTCTCTTTGTATTGTTCTATTCTTTCTCTACTACTTAGCCTTTTGTCTCTTAATTTCAGCAAAAGTTTACAATGAAAAGTTAGAAAGTTCTAAATTCAGCTGATAGCTATTCCAAACATAATCCTAGAAGACTGGAAAATGCTTAGAACCTATGAGTATAATCTATGGTCTATGCAATGAAACAAAACATTGTAACTAAAAAAGTTATAGCCGAAATGAATTCCACAGTGCATTACATTAATTACAATGAATTACAAACGCAGACCATTAGCAATGGCCTTGTTTATTTCCAGATTTGTAGTTTCATAAACTGGAAGCTCTTCTTGGTACCTCCTTCCACCACCTCCAATCAGGTGATCCAGCTCGAACAGATCTGAACTTGAACAGCTCAAAGCATCATCATCATCTTCTTCATCCTCATCTTCACCATTATTATTCTGACTGTACAACACTCTAAAATCAAACTTGCCCTTTCTTGAACCATTTTCCTTGCCCACAACAGAGTTCTTCTTCTGCTTCTTCTTCTTCTCTTCCTCCGTCGTTGTAGAGCTTCTTGTAATTTTCCCAGCACCACTTGGCAAAGGCATTATATCCGGATCGTTCTTGTAGACATATTTGTGGTGAGAATCTTCGCCCAGAATTATGCTTACAGGGTAAAATCTCACGCACCTCTTGACGCCATTGTTCTTTTTAGCCGAAGATGGCGTTTTGCTCATGCAAGACCTCCTTGAATACGAAGAAGCAGAGGAAGAAACACATGGAGACTGAGGTTTCTGCTCGAAACTAACATCTTCCACCGCCCCAACGTAGCACATCTTGGCCTTCTTCACGCTTCCATAATTGAAGATAGAGCTCAAAAAGCTAGCTATTCGACTTCCCGGTGACATCGGCTGCTTCACTTTCTGCTGCTTCGGCTTCTCTGAGTTCATACTCTTGCCGGATTTAGCCCTCGATCTCTGTTTACAACTCGTCTCTGTCTCCGACGACGAGAAGAATCCACCTGAGCTGCAATCTGAGGAGCTGTGGGAGCTCTGCTTTTCCATCCAGTCTTCAACCATAACTGCTGATCGACGAAGACGATTAGTGTTCCTCACTCTGCCATATTCTTTCTCCAGAGTAATTCCATGCTCGTGGCTGAGATTGTTCTGTTTTGAGCAGAGAGCTTCCTTGCAGAGACCCAATTTGGAATCTTGATCAAGATCTGATTTTGATTGGTCAGTTGAACGGTAAATGGCATCAAGGAGAGAGGAAGAGAAAGATGGGGTCCTTCTGCTTCGTGGGTACAAGTCGTCTCGCATCGATCTCTCCTTCCTGTTCATGTTTGAGGCATGCAGCAGATTCCGCAGGGAAAGGACCAAATCTGCAGAAGAAAAGGAAAGAAAAACGCGGAAGAGAATTTAGTCTAAGGAAGGCGAAAAGAGATGGTCAGTGTGGACTGTGGAGGCAGGGAATGTCAAAAGCAGAGAAGAGACATTTCTATATATATACATAGAGAGAGAGAGAGAGAGAGAGAGAGAGAGAGAGGAAGTAGCAGAGATAGAAGGAACGTGTGAAAAAGATAAGCTAAAAGAAGAACAGAGGAACATTGCGTGTGAGGTTGCAAACTGAGTATGGGGATTTATTTAGTTGAACGTGTGAGGAATGAGATAGCGTCATGAAGTGGCTTGGGTGCAAAAGTGAGCACGTTTGGGTGTTGCAGAAGTGTACAGCTTTAGGTGAACATAAATGGGAAATGGCATACCACGCAATTTGTGACTGAGCACTGAGTAGAGAGAGGGAAGTTGTGAGAAAAGAAAGAGTTGGAAACTGATTTAAAAGTGAACACCGCGCGTGCGGGCAAACTTTTTGGGGATATTCATTATATCATTTGTTTGTGCTTTACTTCTTTGTTTTACGAATTTAATAAATTGAATTGAATTCAGTTGTGTCATTTGATGATTCTGCTGTTTGCTTGCTCGCTTGTTTCTTTCTTTTCAAGTTTTGAGTTTTGACAAGCATATCCACTAGAGCCCTTTGGTAAAGATGACATAACAGAGCATAGGATTCTAATGAGGGGCTACCAAAGTGCATTTATTTCAGTCCTATTTGCCCGTCAGATCCCATGTCACAAGCCTACCTTGTTGGCTTGTTGCAGTCGCTCTCACCCAAACCAAAACACACACACTCTCTCTTTCTCTCTCTATGCTCTTCCTCCCAGTGAAGACTTGTGCCTTGTGTTTTTTTGAATTAATCTGAAACGTATTTACAAAGATGAAAAATAACAGACACAACAACTTATAAAGGAGAGACTAATCCATCATCATTTTCCTCCTCTTGATAAACAAAGTGGGGGATTTTGTAAACATAAATAAAGAAATAAAGTAGGAAATGATTAAAAATATAATAATTTTTCACAAAATTACATACTTTCTTTGTTAAAGAATGAGCATTACTAATAACATTTTCTATAAACAAAATTAATTATAAGATTTGTAAGTTTTTTCAAAATCATGTGCTTTTTTAATTAAAGAATAAGTGTTGTTACTTGCTTTTACTTTTTATGATTTTTATTTTTTTTCTCTGATGACTGCTTTCATGATATCAAAGCTTATCAAGAGAGAATAAAAAAAGATTTGAAAAGTCTCATGTTTTATTGATGTGGATAAAAATTAAAAAGAGCCATTAAAGAATCTCTCAATTTTCACTCTTATTTTCTTTTTAAATTCTTATTATCTTGGTCCTCCTCGTGAGCTTGCATGCTCGGAATTGCCAATGTTTGTATTGGGCACATATATGACATGGCATGATGAATGATAGTCTCAACTGCTTCCAAATGCTTCTATTTTACACATTGATTAAGAATAAAATCTTTATATTAATAACAAGATTTGATTCACAACTTTATAGGTTGTAAGTTAAATTCTTACTAGTTGAATTAATATTTATGAGTGATATGTTTTAATTTTTATTTTCATTTTGAGGGCCATGGGCAACATTCCCTCCATCTTTAAATGCAGGGGAAATGAAAAAAAAAAGTTTAAAATATATAAATGATAATTAAGTACAGCAAAATGTGATAATTATTATTTAATCCCTAAAAATTTGTGTGTCACTTTGATTTATGGCGAAATAACATATTTGCCCCATATGACTATGATATGTTGGAAAATGTCTACTTTGATTGAGTTATTGATTAAAATGGAATAAGGAATGACTAAGTCCTTTATACAAATTTGTTTATCATATGTAATGAAAATAATCACTTTTAGAAAGAAACTAGTTATTTTATAATCCTTTTAATAGTTGCATTTGATTGATAAATAAGTTTACAAAAAAGTAGTCATTTTTTATTTCGTTTTAGTCAATAACTCAATTAAAATAATTGTTTTTCAATGTATGATAGACACTTAGGGTAAACATGTCATTTCATTAAAAATTAAAATGCCAAACAAGTTCCTAGGGACTGAATAAAAATTATCAAATTTCTTGATTCTTAATTACTATTATTTCCATATTTAAGGTTGTTGTTTTGTCATTTTCACAAAAAAAAATCATAAAAAGTTGAAGAAGAGTGCGTAATGGTTAATTGTTGATGCCTTAATGGGTTGTCACGTGTTCCTCCGTTGTGATGGGTCATGACCCATGTTTTTAACATCTGTTGTCACAGCCTCACATTGCTCCTCAAAGGTCTGTTCAGTTAACATTGGGCTTTAAAAATCTCAACAAAAAGAATACTGCCCAATTCAATCTCTTTTAGACTTCTCTCAATGGTGATTCTTAATTTGGGCATGATAAGGAAATAAGTTAAGAAATAAGTTTTTTTATTAAGGGGGAAATTCACTTTTAGGTCGAAATTTTAATTTAATTTAAAATTTCAGCGGATCATTGATCTTAATGATGATAATATAATATTACATAATTATCCTTTCTCAAAAAATGCTTTATGCCAGATTTTAGAACATCAGTTACGTTGCAAATTATTTTTTAGACAGTCAATAATAAGTTGCCGAAGAAAAATGTCAGATCTTAGCAACAATAACAATGGGATGATCCCTTTTCTCTTAAAACCCTAACCAAACATACAGTAAAACTTCTAACTCAGCCCTTTTTTATAATTTTCAACCAAATTAAAGTGCTTGGATTCATGATTACTTATAATTAATTCTCCTTTCTATACCTTGGTGATATATATTGCTCCCAGCTTTCAAGCTCTTCATAAAATATAATTTCCTTTGTGATTGACATGTGTAATTTTGCTCTGGCATCTTACAATGTTTCATTTTCTTCAATCACATGAAAAAATTTCTTATTTGTCTCATTGTAATATCGGACAACGTTTTTCATAAAGCTTTAAAGAAAATCTTCCACGTGCTCCCTTGGTTCTATATGTAACAAAAAAATGTATTACATAATTTAAAAAAATTAATTAACTATAATAATTATATCTAAAAATAAAATTAGACTAAAATACTTAGTAATCAACATAACCGTGTATTAATTATTTTTTATTAACATAAATTATAAAAATGATTTAAGAAATATGTAATAAATGCTTTTGAAATGTGTAATTTTGCTTTAAAAAAAATACAAGTAAAAAGTCATAGTTTTTCTAATAATAAAAAAAAAAAGGAGGGAGTGTTTTATTTGCAAGTCACATTAAACTCTTTAATGGGTGATTGGCTTGATGAGTTTGGGCTCAATTAGTTTATTAATCTGATCAATGGACGTTTAATTTCTATGTATAAGCCTCTCTATTTTCATGCATTTTATCCTCAAAATGAATGATGATTTGACTATTTCCTTGGACACTTCTTTTTTGTGTGCTTGAATAATTGACATTATTAGAAACAAATTCCAAATAGAAAAATTATTTATTTCATGAGTCTCATTTACATGTTAAAATTTTATATTTTTACACATAGTTGGAATATTAAGTAATCAACTTTTTTATTTGGACATATGTGTAATTCTCCCTAGATAATTTGCTCTACAATTAATCTTGATTTCTTTTATTTTCTTCACTGTTTCAATCCGGTATATGAGGGTTATTTCTTGGCTCTTCATTCACATGCAAAATTCTACCATTAATCATTTCTTCATTCTCTCATTGAGTTATGAGTAATGAGTTTCGTTATTTGCATGCATCAAGATAAATCAAAATTGTTAACATCATGCAAACGGCGTCTCTTATGATAATTAGCGTATTGAAAATGGTAAGTTTTAAATTAAAATGCCCTCTTGTCTCAAGAAATGTTCCAATTGCATGATTTTCGGTCTATTATAAGAATATATCAATGTGATCTTTCTAGATAACAAAAGACACAAACAATGCATAGAAGAGAGGATTAAGATAAGACACGAATAATGCAGCCACAAGAACTATATGCGGTAGATCGGGGGAAAATGACTTCTATGCTGGCAATAATAAGAAAGATAGGTACGTGGGATAAAATTAAAAGGTGAGCATAGATAATTTCAAATGTTGGAAGAAAAAAACAATGACACAAGGGACAAGACAGGAAATTTTTTATTGTGAAAAGGTTTTGAGTAGTGAAAATAGGGAAAATGCACTTGAGATTGCCATTAATATTTTTTTTTTCTTTCATTCAGTCATCTCAAGTCTTGACTTCAAGTAATCTGGTTGGTAGCTTGTAGGCACTTCTTCAGAGGAATATCTTCTAAAAAGAATTTAATCATTGCCACATATTCAAAACTTGAACTTGAGAGCTCTAATTAAGATGGAATAAATCTTTCTAGCCATTTGATCCAAGCTCCCTGATATAGATTGCCATGAATTATCTTAATTGACTTGGCAAAAAAACAAAAACAAAACAAAAGGACTATCATAATAGAAAGAGCTACCGCATGGACCTGATGGGGAGTATTCAGATGGTAAAGCAGCTCCTGAAACACATGTTGATTTAATTTACTTGTTTGCTCAATGAAACAAAGAAGCAGCCTCAAACTAGAAGATGGATAAGAGGGAGACAAAAGATAATGACAGTAGATTCATTCTTTGAATCCCATTTGAATCTATAGAATTTACACCCACCACACTTCTTAAGTATGCTCTTTTGATCCGCCAATATCTGAAAGAAGTAACTAATATAAGTTAACTTTACCAACCGCATCCAAGAGAATAACCTGAACCAATCACACAATTAAAAGTGTGATCTATATCGGATTTATATTTTGATAGACTGAGAGAGAGAGAGAGAGGAGAGAGAGAGCCCAAAACGGAGAGGTGCAAGTGGCCACATCTTTCTGACATCTGATGACCTATAGTGAAACTTAGTAGCATAGCAAAATAGATATGAAACAATTTAATATGCAACACCACCTCCACAATCTGTATAGCATCAGCACCCACCAACTTGGCGCACTTCGTCTTACAAGTATTGTTCATGTATCTGGCGCGGTTCTCTTCCCACCATAATCTAGCATGCATCTCCCAAACTTTTCTCGGCTGCACATCACATGGAAAAACAATCAGCTTATCACTTTCGATATAGCTCTGTATCAAAAAGTAACCACGCACAACAATGAGCACAAACGTGCATCTATCTCCATGCCATCGTTACGCGGATGCTCACACGCCATAAGACTCATTAATTAGGGGGCACCTTTACTGAGTACTGATAATGAAGACAAACCAGAAATATATATATATATATATATAATTACAGATCAGAGTAGCAGTTTGAAAAATAGAATTTGAGTGTTAGTAAACAATAAAGGAAAGAAGAGAAATTAGAATTTTGAGCTTAAGGTC